AAAAAAAAACCCAAAAAAAAAAACAAAAAGAGAGACAGATTAATTTTGACCCTCCTTTTTCTTCCTTTCTATTTTGGTCATGGATTTCAACGGAGCTATGCTCAATACTCCATAGACACGAAATCCATAAACCTCAGCTACCCTTTCTTGAAAGACTTCGTCTTGAGGAGCTGAAAATTTCTCGATTCAGATTTTTTCTTCATAATTTTCTCTCGAGTGATTCTTGTTGTTATGTATAGATCTGGCGTGGTCATGGCGTGGAACGTGTTCAAGTTTTGCACGGCCCTGAGGGGGCTTGGGTCCATCATGATACTGTTGGTCCTCGGCGTCGTGGGCGTTAGCTATTACGCGGTGGTGATTACAAATTACGGGCCGGGACTCGCCGTCGGCGGCCTTGATTCGCTCGTCGCCTTCTTCATTTTGATCTTGTTTCACGGTCTGGTACGTGGGCTCTGATTCTTTTGGGGTTTTGGGGTTTCGTGTTGACAAGTTTAAGTCTGTTGATTTTTGTTTTTTTCGTTTTCGGGTTGGTTGATTTGATAGCGGGACGAGTTTGTTTCTGTATTTCATCTGTCTGGTAATCTACTTTTGGTTCATGTTCTTGGTTCGTGGGCAGCTCAGGAATCTTATCCATTTTTGGGTTTTCATTGGAGCTGTTGTCAAATACGAGCTGTTTATACACATGTTATTTGGATTCATTAGCTTAGTGTACTTGTATCACACCGATTTTCAGTTAAATTTACCAATTGAGTTGTTCCTCGAAACGTTGGAATTGATTTAGATGGTGTGTGATCATCCCAATCTCGAAGAATAGTTTAGTTTTAAGCTAACATCTTATAATGTCTAATGATATTAATTTTACCATTGCCAATTTTAGGCACTTGTAGTATTCCGCAGCAATCAGTTGTTCTAACTTCTAACAGTAAGAAATGCTTTCAAGATTGTGCTTTAGATGTTGTAATACTTTATTTTTCATTAGGGACATCAGTAATTATCATTTTGGTTCAACCGTTGTTTTTCGAGTTGATGTTCTTTTGAGTACATTGTTCTTCAAATCATAGTTGAAGAAGTAAAGTACTCTCACTTCAATTGATCCCATTTTTCTATTTTTTCATTCCAACAAGAGGGATTGATGACATTTCAACGGATTGCATTTATTATATATATGTATAACCCCAAAAGCTAATAAAGTTTGTTGCTTTTCAGTTGGTGATGCTATTATGGAGTTATTTTTCGGTTGTATTTACTGACCCGGGTAGCGTGCCTCCAAATTGGCGACCAGCGGTAGATGAAGAAAGAGGAGATAGTGACCCATTAACAGCTACAGAATTTCCAGCCGACTCGGAGAATGGTAGAATACGGTATTGTAGAAAATGCAACCAGTTGAAGCCACCTCGATGTCATCACTGCTCTGTTTGTGAGTAGCTTCTTACTCATATCGGGACTTTATGCTTGTTCTGCTTTTATCTTTTTCACCCTTTCACGGTCGTTATTTTTGTTACAATTATATCTTCTTAGGTGGGAGGTGTATACTGAAGATGGATCATCATTGTGTTTGGGTTGTCAACTGTGTTGGGGCATTGAACTACAAGTATTTCCTTCTCTTCCTGGTACGAGTCATTGTAATGAGTGTTTCTTGAATTAGTGTGAAGAAATTTGGAGGTTTAACTTCATTATTAATTATCAAGCTGGATATTTTTAACTCATGTATAATTAGCATTATCATCTGGCTCCGTGGATAAAATGAGAAATCCCACTAACAAATAAACTAGGAAGATATTCTGGGCTTTCTGAAACTTTTTTGATTAATTGTTTTTTGATTACTTTGTTTTTTCCTCACGCAGTTCTATACATTCCTTGAAACTAGTGTTGTTACCTTATCATTACTGCCACAATTCATTGCTTTCTTTGGTGATGGTGAGATTGCTGGAACTCCAGGAAGTCTAGCGACAACTTTTCTTGCTTTTGGTACAATATATTTTTCTATCTAACCTTATATATTCTTCTCTATGCTCGGCTGATGAACATCTTTTTTTT